CCCCACAAGAAGCAACCCAAGAGATGCCATCCCTTCAGTGGCTGGCCTTTACATGAGCCATGGGGTGCTCCACTCTCAGCCCACCTCTTCTGGTCAGCTGGGGATCACAGGTGAAAACAATCTGTGCTCCCTGGGCCAGACACAGCCCTTCACCAGGTGCTCCATCACCACTTCAAGCCCTAAACTAACAGTTCCCCTAAATCACCATACAAAATATTCATAAATTAGAGTGGGTTTTTTTACTGTCATATTTGAATCTGTGGTGGAGATACAAGTAAGCTTATGGAAATGTGCGATGTTCTGTGCCATGAGGCATCAGAGTATTCACCAAATACTGGTTAGCATTCATAGCACAGACTACCTTATAGGTTTGAGCTTCTCCAGGCCATTGATCCAGCATGTCCGGATCCCTCTGTAGGGCCTTCCTAATCTCAGGCAGATCAACACTTCCTACCAGTTTGGTGTCACCTGCAAACTTACTGAGGGTGCACTCAATCCCCTTGTCCAGGTCATCAGTAAAGATATTAAGTGACTCCAGACCCAATACTGCCCACTAGGAACACCACCAGTGACTGGTTGCCAGCTGGATTTAGCTCTGTTCACCACCACTCTCTGGGCCTGCTGCTCCAGCCAGCTTTTTACTCAGTGAACAGTACACTTGTCCAAGGCTATGGGCTGCCAGCTTCTCCAGCAGAACACTGTGGGAAGCAGCGTCAAAGGCTTTGTTGAAGTCTAGCCTGGCAGGTCACCTGGTCGTAGAAAGAAATAAGGTTGGTCAAGGAGGACCAATTTGCATGAACCTTTCTGGCCGGCCCTGATCCCCTGATTGTCCTGCACATGGCACATTTCTCTGATTCACCAAGTCCTCTTGCCCGTATCTATGGATAGAAAATGAAGTATATCATTAGAGGTGGTCCATAACATTAATGATGAATGAAGATTAATTTTGCATTTCTTTTTTGATATCTCTTGTGCTTTCTTAGGCAGTGATTCCTTTGCGGTGTTAGTAGCCCCTATGTGTGGAAGAGTAATTTATGTTTTTGCTGTGAGACAGGTCTGCTTTTCTGTCTGTGAACAGATGTTTATTCAGTCAGTAACTCCAGTGCTCGATGCTGCAGGTGAATATAAGCACCGTTTAGTTGTGGTGTGTTTCAGTGGGATTTTCTGTTGTGGTGGTCTTGGTTTCTGCAGTAACTTCCTTTGATACGGTGTGTTCTCTGACTGACTAACCTGGTCATTCTCGATTGGAGATAATAGAGCCTCTCATTTACAGCTTAGTTTTGAAGATTTATAGTAGCTGCATCCCATTGCTCAATTTGTATCAGTAACTGTAACTTCTATTCCACTAGAAGAATATTGAGGTTTTGTATTCACCATAAAAAATGGAAATCAATTCTAGATTTTCCAAACAGTGCCACACAATGACATTAGAAATATGGCATTGAGTAGGAAATCCTGTGTATTGAAAGTAAAATTCAGGTACTTTATTGGCTTTTTCAGAAGGCAGTTTATGAATTTCACCAGAAATATGTAAAAGATTTGTTTATATTATTATATTATTATATTATTATATTATTATATTATTATATGCCTTTTTCAGATATGCTGACTTTAAAAAAAAAAAGGTATAACACACTATATTTATTAGTATTAAGATATTCATAACTACACCTATGTATCTGTAACAATACATTTTCAGACCACTATTTCTGCTCTTATGGCTGCTTCTGATTCAATCACATAGAAGCACTACAGACAGGTCTATTAAATAGGTTGGTTGTTACTTAACGCCTTCTCTTCTGATACAAGTTTTGAGTATCTCTTGCAAAATGAAAGCATTCAGTTGCCAGTGGGGGAAAAAGTTTCTAGCCAGAATTAATATAAATCATCTGGATTAAGAATCAAGCCTGATTCACCATAGAAATACAATCACAACATCATTTATGTTGGAAAAGAACTTGAAGATTCTCCAGCCCAGCCATCACCGAATACTTCTCAGTCCACCACGAACCCACACACCTAAGCGCCACATTCCCCCATCCCTTAAATGCCTCCAGGGATGGGGATCCCACCTCCTCCCTGGGCAGCCCATTCCAACGCCCAGCCTGCACTTCCATGAAGAAATTCTTCCTGGCTGCCAATGTAAACCTTTGCTGACGCAACAATTTGAGGCTGTTGCCCGATGTCCTTTAAACTAACACACGTCTGTCCTGGATTAGACAGAGAAGGTGAATCACATACAGTGGATGCATTAACCGTGTGGGAAGCTGCACATCAACATACAACACTCAACAGCATATGATCATCAGCTTAAGAAATTACTGGGCTTTGTAGTGTGCCTTCAGAGTGTTAACTCGTTTTTATCTCCTCGTTTTATCTTAACGTTGGATTATTTTGAGATGGTCTTCAAAGCAGTATAGATGTGCTTGTGCCATTTTCTTTACAGTGAATAAGGAGAAAATGCAATTTTAAACATTTAAATATGCATCTGAATTAAACCCTTATCTGTGCTGTAAAACTTGAGGGCTATCTCAAAAAGAAAACAAATCCAATTATGGCCAAGTCACATGAGAGAGTGAAATCAAATTTAATTACTTCTTTCAAAAGAAAATTACTTCTTTCAACCTAGCAAAATTCTACAGTTATTTTTATCACTATAAGAAGGAACAAAGTTGGAAGAGAAGCTGTCTTCATGGAGTTTGCACTCCATTCTTCATTACTTAGTACTCAGCTGAACATGGCAGTCCTTTCTCTTATGTGAACTTCTGATTGCCCAGAACATAAGCCAGAAAATGTTTTATGGTAGAAGGTGCTTGTACTCAGGGTTAGAAAAAAGCCCACAAGTTTATTGTTAGAAAGAGCAAAATGGACTTGATTTATTTTATTGCAAGTTATCTTTATAAAAATATTGTCATTTTTGCTGAACATGCATAAAAATCACAGCAGAAGTATTGTGCTTTCTCTTGCTGTAGGAAGGGCTTTAGTCAATGCAGTGGAAATAATGCTGCTATGACCTTCACGGCATTGGAAGTGTTGAAGGCACAATTCCATTGATTCAAGAATTCTAGAGCTTTTTTATGAGTGAATGAAGCTTCACACAGAGGGCTGCCTTCGCTCCTCAGATGTGATTTACAACCAGTCAAGTTAGAGAGGGACAGGTAAAGGATAAGACATTGATTTTACCCTATGCAAGTAAGATTCAAGTATTTGCCTCCTTGAAGAAGAAGTTCCTCGTATGGACTTGGCTTAGTCTCTGATATCACATAAAATACAAGAGCCAGAAACCTGAAGTGTCTGTTTCTCAGGAAATTAGCCTGGAAGCTTAAAAGCTTCATAAATTCATATTAAAATCTGAGATTGGCAGTTACTCATTTTACAGGGGAAAAAAAAAAGAAGCTGGAAGATGTTTTCAAATTTAATCATACATCACTCTGATGGGATAAATGGTGGCAATTAATTTCTTGCTGTGCAGAACTGTGCGGGAGGCCTGGAAAGAATGTTTGAGAATGGTGCAAGGAAACGGATGTCATTTTTATTAGCATGAGATAACTTGAACATCGTAATGTAAAACTCACCCAAAGAACTCTAGAAAAAGTGAAATGAAAATACATTCTACTCTCTCCTTAAAAGCATATCAAATCTGTAATGCTGGTCCAAGCCGGTATTGGAGTCCTGAGGGAACTGGCTGATGCAGCGTCTCGATGATATTCGTGAAGTCACAGCAATCATGTGGAGGCCCTGGGGGCTGGAAAAAAGGCAGTGTCACTCCTGTTTTTAAGAAGGGTTGAAGGGGCGACCCAGGGAACTGCCAGCCTGGGAAGAGAGGGGTGATAAAAACAGCCAGCACGATTCTGCCAGCCAATTCATCTCACTGTTTTTGCTGGGAAGTACAGAGTATTGTGAAGATGAAGAACCCTAGCTGCATAAGGTGCCATTTTTCTAATACCTAAACAACTGGAGATGTTATTTAAAACCTGATGACTTGGAATTTTAACAGTGAGAGGAAAGGAAGTAAGCTGAAACAGTAGAGATAAAGAAATACTGGTATAAAGACACTTCTCTTGAAATATCAAAAGACAGCATTTGTCTCTGCGTAGAATCTAATGCAGATTGTATATGGATATGTGTCCTGTAGACAGTTTTAAGAAGTGAGACTCCTTTACCCAATTGTGGTTGTGTCAAGTAGTGCCAATATTCTTGATGGAAGCGACCTGAAAAGTTGTGATTGTTTCAGATAACTGTTTCTCTTTAAATATGTCAGTTTGCCTATTGAGCACTTTCCAAACGAAATTCATCTTTTGTGAAATGAAAATGCAACTTTTTCTTGTGCCTTGCTGCCGCTTTCTGCCTAAATGAGGCAAAGAGGGTTTGGTACTTAGCAGTGTGGGTTCTCTTTGTGACTTGAAGAGCTGCATTCCCCACGTTAAGCTGGTTTGAGTTTCTAACCACAGACTTTGAGTTTGAATGAGTAGTGCTGAAGACTTTTCCTGCTTAGAATATTTCTGTATTGATAAAGTTGGTAATCATCATATAATAATAACAATAATAATAATAAAATATTGTTTATTTTAAAGGCATTATAGTTACAACTTCAAGCAACTCACATACATTCCAAAAGCAATGTTTTTTTTGTTGCTGATAGTTTGAAGCATGTGCAAAAGTGATAGATGAGAGAACATAAGCAAAAGAACGGCGTCTCCCTGAGTTGTCAAATGGAGAAAGATTTGCAGTTACTGTCACTTTGGGCTACTTGTAGTTAATCTCCAGATGAGTCAGCAATCTTCTAAAGCACAGAAAGCTATTTCAGTCAAATCCTAGAGGCAGTATAATGCTTTGTCTTTGAACCCTAAAAGGCCTTTCAATATTGTGTTGAGATGTGCATGGAAATCTAACGTTTTTTAGTTGTAGAGCAAAGCAGGAAGCTTTGTGTTGCAGCGGATAATGGCTGTGATTATTTTTCCTGGTTGTAACCGTTTGCTTGGTTTGGGTTCCATGTGCAGGGAGTTGGCCTCTCAGTCCATGGACATTTCCGAGTTGCGACTGAAAGGACAGTTTTTGCAATGCCAGAAACAGCAATAGGTAAGTAGATTTTAGCAGGTTATCATACATCAACGTGTTTCAAGTTATGCCCTTCATGTAATTAGGATGAGATGCAGTTGAGTGAAACTAACGGCTGTATTGTAAGTATTTTATACAGGAGCTGGAAATGACCACGTTCTGAAAGTATTTTTTCTTTTAAGTCGATAAGAACTTGTCTCAATTTTGTTGGTCACTGAGGTTCTTAAAGCAGGCTCTACTGTCTAGCTTGACAAAAACTATCAGGATGCAATTTGTTAAAAATAGAAATAGATGTGAGGAACAAAGGATTTGCCATAACGTGTAAGCAGATAAAGTCAGAAGATCCCAGTGCAAATGAGTTAACCCTTATTACAGTTGGAGCTCAGCATGAGACAAACCACCTGATCTGCACTGTTAATGAAACAAATGTTGACATTCTCCTTTTTCTTGTGGACTATTGCTGTGAGGTCCATTAAAGCTGTGTACAGATTATGGACAAGATCACTGTTACGTTGTTCCTTTTAAGTAGCATCCTATAACTTTCATTTTCTGATGTTTGACCCTACAAAAGCTTTGTCAACTTTGAGATGTATGATGGAAAATTTTATGTTCCTGAACTACGTAAAGAGAGGGATAGGCTTCAAGAAAAGTCAGATCACAGTGAACCTTCATGTGAGATCACTCATGCTCCCCTTGAAGGCAATACTGGTAGCATCAAACTATCCACATAGAATGTATTACTGCCTGCCTTCTGGATGCTTGTTAATTCTTTGTGTCTAATTCCCACCTCCCTGCTTAGCAGCAGAGTTTACAAAGATTGCTTAAAGAAGACTAACAGTGTAGTTCTTTTGCATATAAAATTATTCTAATAATAAAGACACCTTCATTTTCTTCTTCAAAGGTAAATATGCACGTAGTCTCATGCTAAGAAAGATGATTTACTTTACATACATTTTCTGTGAATACAGGGACTTATTTAAGCAAAAATAGACCATGAAGATGCATAAAGTAAAAGCTTAGATCTTGCTTACGAGGGAAAGTAATTAAAACCCTTTTAGGATCAATTAAAGTAAAACCACTGAAATCTGTTTGGATTTAAGGGCTTAGCTGTTTTGATCTTTGTGGTGTATGTTTAAAATGTCTGGCTGCTGAGAGACTGTATTAGTGGAATTGTTTGTGTGTTACTTTCAGAAGACATTGTACCTTTTTGGTGAAATGAAAACAGTGCTCATTGAGCTGCTACATTTTCACAGTTACTTACACACCACCATAAACAGAAAATGACATTTATATGCCATTTGGAAAATAAAAATAAAAGTTGTAGATGGTAGGCGTTTCCTGCTGATAGAGATAATGCTGGATTGCAGTTTAAATGTGGGAGGGTGTGGACAAACCTACCCATGAAAGAACAAGAGATGAAAGTATATTGTCAGAAATGGGCTGTAAGGTGCTGCTGGAGTACCAGCATGTTCTCGGATATCTAACCGTTCTATAACTTTCTACAACTCATTTACAAACAAAACTCCAACTGCAGCTGCAAGAAAAGGTGAGGTGTGTCGTAGCATCTGTGTCAGAGCTCAAGTTGCTCGTAAGGTCGATGTCACAGACATGGGCTTCTGGCCTGGCCTGCCCAGTGCACGTTCATTTTCTTTTCAAATAGGGATCCGGGAAGCAGTATTGAGAGAACTAAGGGAAATGCTACAGGGACAAGAGGAGTAAAATCTGAAGAGGAAAGGAAGATGGGATCCTTGCATGGGGTACAGCAGAGGCTGCAGTGGACTGCTCTTAAGCATCTGAGCAGGTTTAAGTGGATTAGCTGCACTCTTAACTAACCCTGCTTGTACATACTGCTCTAATTAAAGAGATCTTCGTTTTGTTTAGTTTCACTCACCTCTAAAGTGACTGGAATCAATCAGCTTTATAGTTTATTTAGAATTAACCTTCCCACATATGGGAAGGGCCCTATAAATCACGAAGATGGGTTTTCCTTCGAAACCTTGAGGAAATTCATGGGACCACAGGGAGAGTAATGCTTCAGTACTGATGCTAAGGCATCGGTATTTAATTGCAGAAAAGGAAAGGTTTTTACAGCCCTGATGGATAGGGAGAATGATGCAACTGACTTTGCAATGGATTTGTGAGAGCATTTTCATTTTGAAATGAAGGAGGTTTTTTTGCAATAGTAGGGAATCCAAGAGGAGACAGATGAATAGAAATATAAAATGGAATGGCGGTCTTTGCATCAACATGTCTCAAACTGAGGAAGGACAAGGCAGAGTAGCCTATTCATAAAGTGACTGCAGACGAGAAAGAACGTAGGTGATGAAATAGAGATAATAGAGCTTAGGGCTCTGAAAGGCTGCCAACAAGACAGTGAGTGTTTTAGAAGAGCTGCAAATAGAATGAAGACAGTTGTCTGGCACATCTGTAAGGTATGTGCCAGTAGAAATGATGCAATTTGGAAGGTATTCAAGAGTTTGCTTTTGGGAAGGGTTCAGATGATAGAGAAATATAAGTCAGAGAGAAGTTGTGACACGAGAGCTGTGCCCAAGTTAGAGATGGAAGTGAGACAAGCAGAAATGCGCGCTGAGTTACGTGCACGTCTGGGACAAGGTCTTCTCCCCTCATTTTCTTCTTTGTTTTGTTCTGTTTATTACAGGCCTTTTCCCTGATGTAGGTGGAGGTTATTTCTTGCCAAGGCTTTCAGGAAAGATCGGCTATCTCCTCGCACTGACAGGATTCAGGCTGAAAGGAAGAGATGTGCTAAAAGCCGGCATCGCCACGCATTTTGTAGAATCAGAAAAGGTAAGCTGCCAAGTGGAGCTCACCAGGGCTCAGCCTGGCGCCGCCTTAACAAGTTGGAGTGGCTCAGCACACCGATGTGCACTGAGCAACTTGAGCACGTGCAGAGCTACACTCACTGTAGCTGGCCCTGCTCTGTGAATGGGAACTGTAAGGGACTCTCAGGTGTCACTGCAGTGCTTGCCGGCTTGTGACAGCTTTGCTTGAAGAGGGAGCAAATGCTGCTGTCACCACGATTCTGCTGTTTAAGGGCATGATTTACTGAGCATAACTTGGTCACTTCAAAAGTGGTACCATATGCCTTCGTCTTGTCTTACTATATCATATCAGTTGTTCGCTTTCTGGACGCAATCTAGACAACGGTATCTGAAACAAGAGGTTATTTACACAGCTGCAGAGTCGCTAATTTAGATAACAGCCAATTAATGTGTTCCTTATCAGTCTCCTTAATAATATCCTGTAAGTGGCTGTAAGAAAATGCAAAAATTAGCATATTTGATAAAGTCGGTCATCATGTTCCCGTACTTCAAGTGGTTGTAAGTGTAGGAGAAAAGGCATCTGATTCTCTTTTGCCAAGACAAGACCAATGACTGTCAGTGTGACTGCACCGCTGGAGCTGGCTAGAGATGCAGGCTGGCAGATAGCACTTGGAGCACTGTGTGGTTGCCAGGCTTCCTGCTCTCAGGATGGCTTCGCCTGCCCCAGCTGCAGCACCGGGAACAGGGCTTTCTGCTGATCACTGCAGACATACCCCAACCTAGCATCAGCACTTCTGAAAAGTGAACGCCACTTCTTTAAGACTTGGCCAAAAGATTGTGTGCTTTTTTATTCTTATTATTACTATTTATTTTTATTTTTCGTGATAGCTGCACAGTTACAGATGTGTATGTAATACACACACATAGTTACACTGTATTGTACTATTGTCATAGCAGTAGTAATTCAGAAAGTACATTCTGTTTTCCTTACTCTTAATTCTTATTCTCCATAGCTACCTGACTTAGAGAAAGACCTGATAGCATTGAAATCTCCTTCAAAAGAAAATATTGCAGACTTGCTGAACTCCTACCACATGCAGGTAATCCAATTAGTTACTGAAATCAAGTAGAAATGTTACTTAAGTGTATGTAAGTACAAATTCCTTTTTGTGCTACTGGTTATTTGTTCTATGGTGACAAGATAATAGGTTTCTGAACTCCTTGTACTCTATGAAATAATACTTTGTAGCACAAACACCCACAGAAAATGTCTGCCTTTTCCCTTTTTATTCATTTTGTATCCTGGAAATTCCTACTGTGGTCAGCGAACTTTCTCTTTCAGTGTGTATAAATGGGTTCCCAGCTGGTAGCATGATGATGCAGAAAAAACATTGCTGCTTATTTTTTTCTGTTATTTGATTTTTAGCATACTTTGCAGAAGGCAAAATATGTAGCCAGTAGCAAAACGTGATGGCAAGTACAGGCTAGGGAGTTATCCTCAAATGAGACAAGTACAGACATAATGGGAAGAACCATGGTTGTTCTCCAAAGGCTGCAGGAGTCACAGGGCCAGATGTGCAATGCTAGGCTGCTTGCTTGGAAGTGGGTGTTTTGTATTTGCTGGCCTGAAGAATTGTGCTACCTTTATGCATTTGATGTGAATTTTAGCATTCCTGTGATACAGACCATCTGCAGACGGGGTTTGAAGCCTGAACTTAAGTTGTCCATTAATTATTCAAATATTTTACATGTGCGTCACCTTGAAACAATTAAAAGTCTAAATGAGTACAGCACTTGTTTGTAGGATATTTATTAGCAGAGTGCTGATATTTTCTCTTGAAAGCATTTGAGAGCTCTAAAACAACATTTTCAGGGAGAAAAATGTGCTGTTTTCCCAGTGGACAAACCCATCATTTTTGGAGGCAAATTGAAGAAGACTGCTAACGTGTAATTGGCATTTGTGTTAACGTCATGGCACCGTGGGCATGGCAATGGTGTAGCCAGTGGCTGTTTATTTCAAAAGGAAGGGAACTTCTGGAGCCAAGCTGGGTTTCCCTTTCATCAGTCATCCTGAGTATTGCTGCCCAGTTGATTGGATTTAAAATGAGCAGTGCCTGCTCCTCCTATTTCTCTTTTGGAATTACTACGTTCATAAGTGAAGATTAAATAGAAAAATAATGTAGGTAAGCTGATTTCCACAGTGGCACTGAATATTTTGCTAAATTGAAAGCCCTGAAAGAGGAGTGATTCTGCGTTGCAGTGTGCTGCTTTACAAGATGACATTTGGTGCCTGAGAGAAGAACCAAGCGTGCCTTTTTCCTGCTTTGCTCTTTTCTGTTTTAAATGTGTAAAGCCATACGTGTCTGTATGGGAAACCAGGCATCTCTTTTTCCTGCCTTCTACATTCCCTGTTTTTTGAGGAGACTTACCAACATCGGCTTTCTTGGTCCGTTTGACAGAAACATATCCATAGGATAACCATGGTTACCCATGTGCAAGATGACCATGCAGTCAGACACGTGTATGTCACAGCTCAGAGCCAGCACTGCAGTGTGATGACACCTCTGACACTCACAAGATGAAGCAGGAAGATCATTGTGCACACTGTAAAACAAATGCATTAAAAACAGCTTACAAGCATTACGTGTTCATTTATCTTACCCTATTTCTGATGTTTTTCACTACTGGTGGGCTTTCCAGACAACTGAAATAACCAAATCAAACATGTGTTTGTTTTTTAAATAGACCAAAATTGACCAAGAAAAGGAGTTTGTCCTTGATGAGCATATGGAGAAGATTAACAGGTATCCAGAAATCTTCTCTTTTGTTCTTTTGGGTAGAAGGCATGAAGATAGATCCAGAAACAAAGTTCTGCAGATAAGGTGAAAGAGATGCCATGTAAATATTTGCTTTTGGTGTGCTTCATGTGAAGCTCATTAAATATTTCAGTCTTCACAATATTGACTACTACTACTTGAACATAGTAGCCTGAATCATACATCATTCTTTTAAGCAACATAGCACATTAAAATACATGTTTTGTTTTGAAGGTGGATGGAGTTTTGTGAGAATAATTTTTCAGTTGGAAAGGAAATGTTACATGGTACATTCGTGTTCATGGTAGAAGTTTGTTTCTGTTTCTCATTTCTCTGTTCCTAGCATTTCATAGGGGAGAGGAGGGCTGAAGACATGAGACAGTTAACTTACTAATTTTCTTCTTCTTTTAGTATTTTTTCAGCAAAGAGCATGGAAGAAATTGTTCAAAAGTTAAAGCAAGATGGTTCTCCTTTTGCCATGAAGCAACTAGAGGTAATGCCTTCTCTGTTATTTCTGTTAGAGGTTTAAGCTGGTTCTGTGCTTTCCTGCTGCTGAGCAGTCGATAGCTGCCTTAGTAATGCAACCAAAAATGAACCAGAAATGAACAAAAAACCCAACACTCCATATCATAACCAGCAGGACACTGACTGTGATCCTCAAGTTCTCGTGTGTGCTTATGTGGGATTGTAAGTCTTTTCCTCTGACAGGAATATCCGTATGTGAAATGACAAACTGTGAATGCCATTGTGTGTTGTACAGAAGTGCAATCTAGTGAAAAACAAATGCCCTTTTCCCTTTTTTCCCACGATCAGGGGATGATGGTAACAAAGGTTCCTTTTACAGCTTCTCATTTTATTGCCAGGGGTTGGAATAAAACAGTGCCAGCACAATGTTGTTCATTTACTTCCATTTCGGATATCTCATCCGGGCAAATAGCACGCCATTTCTCATCTCAGGTTTTTTGTTGTTGTTGTTTTTAATCTTCTTTAATGCCCCTTGCTATAGTCCTTAGTCACAAAATACGTGGTATTAGTGCAAGCTTCCTGCAAGCCTCAAAAGCAAGAAGCAGCTCACATGTAATCTCTGTGCTTTCTGTTTCTCCTGTTACGTACCTGTATGTAGGTGCTTTGTGAAAGTCTTGTCTTCAGGATGTTCAAATACTACTTACAACGGGATGGAATACAAGCATTTAGCAGGAAAAGCTTTGTTTAAACTGTCATTACTTCTTACGGTATCATTATGTCTTACAGGGCCCTGATTCGTAGTAAAACAAAACATATCCATCATCTACAGGCTGTCGTTTGGACAGGAGAATAATTTTGTAATGTCATATTGTTAGAATTAGGCATCCTGTCCCCACTGCTTTCAGGACGGTCCTGGAGCAGTGTGTTCTGGAATTACTCCAAGTAACACATACATTTTTGTTCTTCATCAGAGATTTAATATCTTGCCGTTGGAACTCTCAAAACTCTCAGTTTGTGAGAAGGGAATTTTGGAAATATCTTTGTGCCAGGCAGCATGGTATTACTTTGCACCCTTATGGTGCAGACTACAAAAGCAAAATGGGATGAAAGAGGAAGCTAACACTTGTATTCATATTCTGTTAACTATCAAACTTATTTCTGGATATTTTGTTGCATACTTAGTTTTATTTCTTAGGACTTCCTAGCAGATTTTTTTCTGTTATATGATTAATAAATGAATGGCTGTCACGCCTGAACAGTTCTCTGAAGAGCAATGTTTGCTCCATGTAAGACATCAGATCTTGTTAACATGAATTGCTTCTGTCCGCTCGGAGAGCTGAGAAAGGATACTTTCTGGCAGGGAGGAGGCTTGGCAGCGTGAGCAGTACGTTAACTTCAGACAAATTTCTGACGTGCTCTGTACTAAGCAGGAAACCTCTGTACAATTAAATACTTACCTGATCCTTGTGGATGTGCTCTGCTGTGTTTCTCTTTGGTGTCCAGGTACAGAAACAGCCGTTCTGCTGTTAAATGCAGAGACCAGGAATGATTCAGCATGGGAATGGCTATTTTGTTTCTTTTTTCCTGCTATTTCTTTTGATATGCATTAGCAAGCTGATTGACTAGGCCACGACTGAAAGCTTAGTTTGGAATTACTCACTGGCACATGCACACCTTGGATATAGAGATACTTCTGAGCATTCATAAAGTGGAATTTCTGCTTCTGCTGTAATCCATGTACTCTGTGAGCTTGGTATCCTCTTCTGTCCACACTACAATACTGTTGTTTTTTATTTCCAGATGTGCCTGCTTGGTGGGCTTCCACCTGTCTGATGCTAAAATAGACTGCACAAATAAGGAGCATGTAAACTTGTTAAGCCAGTCACAGTGAAATATTTACTTAGTCCAAACAGAAGTGCTAAATGGGATCAAAATCTGCAAAGCATCACGTTTGAGTTCCTTTTCACACGGTGCTTTTATAGAGCTTTTTGGGGGGCAGGTCAGCTCAGCTACTGATCACCTTCATTGTTAGTGAAGGACTTCCAGGGCAGCACGCAGAACACTGCAGAGACTGTAAGAAGGAACAGACAAACAGACACCGTGCTGACAGCAGCTGGCTTGCAGGGATGTAGACACCAATCCCTGAAACTCTAAATGAGTGTGCAGTAGGTGGGTGAGATAGATGGTAGGGATGAAGCTGGGTGGTTTCCTAGTAGCAGCGACTTCAAGAAAAGAAGCATTTGCACTGTTACAGACCAGTAAGTGATGTATCAGTCTCTAAGTAGCTTTCCAGCAATGCTTTGCCTAGAGCTCCTTTTGTCAGAGCTTATCCAGAGTCATTGTTCAGTGCAGACCAAGGAACACTTTGGTATTTCAGAACGTGAGTGATAAATGTCTTCACCTATTGCAAGACAGGTGATACATTGGACCTCTGGGGTTTCTGTTTCTTTTAACTTATAGCAAGCCTTCTCAAGGACCCTCAACAGCTCATGTTCAGGTCAGAAACTGTAATGGCCTTGGAGACAAAGGTGTTCCAGCTGTTTTTCTTGTAAGGGACTCCACTGAGTCAGGTCGCTTAATTTGGTCATCTTAATTTGCTGGTATCTTATTGGAACTCAGATATGTTGCAAATTCAGCTTTGTAGCTTTCAGGTTTGTTAACACTGAAATCAAGATGGTCTCAGAGATGCTAGCATAGATGTCAGATACTTGTATGACAACTCCTTTGCATTTTTGTACTCGCTCTCCCACGCCGGCCTATCCTGTCTCCTTTTCAGGTCTGTTCCCAAGCACCAGTCCCCTCCTTCTCTTTGTACATAGGGCTTATTTATAGATACACACTGACTCATTTTTCTGCATTACCACCTACCCATTTTCTTCCCTTCTTCCTCTTCCTTCAGCTTGATTTGTAGCAGTGTCTCCTCCACCTCCAGCCTCATTGATATGCTGAGATAGGCAGTGCTGTGTGCACATGACTCGTTAAGTTAATCTTCCCCTTTTCAGTTTTTTTCCCCTCATTTCATCTGGGGAAGCAATGTGTTGCCCTGTGCACACCACTTGGCTTGGTCTGAGCAAACACATTCTGATATAGAAGACAGAGCTTGAAACCAAGCAAAGGAGGAAAGACCCAGATCAAGGGTAAAGCCAGCAGGCATGCATTAAGGGAAGAAAGGAGTCCTGTTAGGAGTTGCTGCACATCTGAGACCTATATCATGATGTAACTAAACAGGCATAGCTGGGTTCTTTATCTGCTGAAAAGATGCTACTTGTTAGCTTTACCAGGATTGGTTCTTTCTTAACTATTTTCTCTCTCAAAAATGGTCAACATCAGCATCAAGGAGAATAATAGAACCAATGCTTTTAAGTCTCAATTCCACATCGCCCTGCTCGTACAGCAATCACATGTTTTCCAGCTTAACTGGGCTAAGTGGGTCACTGCTGTATCAGCTGGTGTCTGGAGAGGGATGAAGAGTAATTGAGAGCCAGAAAAAATGTTGATGTTGATGACTGGAAAGCTGCCATTCCAGTCTGTGGGTAAGGAGTCTAATGTCTGCAATGAAAATAATGCAAAGAGGCAAGTCTTCCATCTGCCACTTCTCAGTAGAGTGGTAAAAATGTCCTAATTGACTGGAAATGTCTTTTATACTGTGAATAATAAAGAGGTTTTAGTTGGGTTTGCAGGAGAAGGAGGCACGTTTAGATTAATGAGCTGAAGATCAGCAACCATAAAATGTAGCTTCTTTCCTCAACAGACCTCAAAGCTTTGAAGCTAAGTACTGTTTTATTAACCAGATTTTTGTCCTTCTCCCCACCTCCTCTACTGTTTACTGGCACGCTGTTAGTTGAAGGATAGTCACGAGAGCCAGATTTACAGCATTTGTTTGTATGCTTTAGGCAGATCCTGTCTGTTGCGTAATATTTATAGCCTGTAGCTCTGTCAGAAGAAGGAAGACTTCCAGGCTTTCTGTCTGCAGAGCAGGGTAGGGCTGAATTACTGCACTGTCTGCTGATCCCATACAAGAAGCCTGTACAGACCTGGGTTTGATATCTTTTGTGCCATTTCCCCTCTCCCCAGGATTTTCTTCTTGTTATATTACAGATAGTCATAAAACAAATACCAGGTTTGTGGCTAACCTTGGCGGTGTTACCTTGCTATTGTATCAAACAAAGCTTAAATGTTACACCATAGTAATATCAGCTGCAGCATCGGTAACATCTAAGAGCAATTCAGACTGTATATATATAAATATATCCTCCAAAAAAGAATATAACTGCTTGTAACAGTCGCCTCCACCTCTAAAAATATGTTAGGAAACGTCTTTCAAACTGCGCTGGATTCTGTAGCTGGCAGTGGTTGGATCAGAAGTGATGGGACCTGAAGAGTTCTCGGCCTCCAGAGGTTCTGGCCTGCTTCCAGAGACTTTGGTGTAAAGTCTGTGCAGGTCACTTCACTGAGGGTGACAGCATGGTGGCAGGGAGCAGGAGGACTGGGCAGCCTGTAGAGGAGAGCTCAGGCAAGAGTGCCATCCCACAAAGTTTGAAATGCGAAAGAAGGATTTTCAAATGCATCTAAGTTGAAGAATACGGAAATGATTGTTCATGTCTTCCCCAGACTATCAATAAGATGTCGCCTACATCCCTGAAGCTGGCTCTCAGACAACTCAGAGAAGGTGCTTCCTTGAGTTTACAAGACGTGTTCACAATGGAGTACAGACTGAGCCAGGCGTGCATGGTAAGCAGGAAGCAGACAGCTGTTTCTGCAGCCAGGGTTGGGGCAGATCTGTCAGAGACGAGTTTTACATAGGTTACACCAAAGGCTCACATTTATTTCCAGCATGTTACTTTAAGATAACATTTTTTTGCGTGTTGTTAAATGAATCAGATGTATGTGAGAATGTGGTGTATCCAATTCTGATACATTTGATGCCTGCTGGTATCTTCACCTGATAATGGTATTGTTGCTCCATTACCAGTATAGAGTCCTTAGAGATTTAAATGTTAAGTTCTCTCTTCATCAAAAAGAACTGGATATTTCCAGGATTCCTTTAACTGCAGTGTTCTAAGTGTGCAGAAGACATTCCTGAAGGTGAGCTTCTCTCTGAGGAACTCTTCGTCCTGCACACTCACCATACAGAACTTTTCAGGAACACCCACGAGCTGCAGTGGATGAAAGCTGCTTGCTTAATAAGGGATGGATGTTAGGAGTTCTGGCTGTGTTCAAGCAGATGTTGTAACTTCTTAATGAAGAAAGTATGACTAGGAAATAATAGTACAAGTGGAAATTAACTGAATCCTGAGAACTTGCGTGACAGACAGAAGTGGGAAAAGGAAAGAGGGGATCAGTAGTTTATCCTGTTAACAGCTTGGTCCTTTGTCTTTCAGAGAGGCCATGACTTCTATGAAGGGGTTCGAGCAGGTAAGTGCACATGCCAAAGGTTTCCCAAACTGAGCAATCTACCACCTCACTGTTGTGTTAACCTCTGGAAATAGAAGTGTATGCAGCAGCAGCCCAAGAACTCTTGCCAGCTTGCTTTATTGTGGCTCTGCTTGGTCAAAAGGTTTCTCTCGGTACAAACTAACAGCTACAGTGTTTCCTCTGTGATCTCACTGTCCTTAAGGTTTGTATCCACTGACTAACACAGTGCTGTGAGAAGGTTTCAGGAGGGCAATGGGAAAGTTCTAAGCATATTTAATGCCAGGACTAGTGATTGCTAAGCTGGTCCCTTCTGTGCCAAGTGGTAGTGCTGCTACACAGCTGGCTCAGCCAGCTCTAGTGTGGTTTAAGAAAGGAAGACTGAAAGTCAATAACAAGTATTTGCATAGAATACAGTTAGAACAGAGATTACTTTTGGCAGTGTCAAAAATTCCTCTCAGTGAAGGTGTCTCACTGCAATAAAATTACGTCTGTTAAATAATTCAGCGTTTTACAGCAGTGTTCAAGATAGGTAGCAGTAAGAGCAGAGCAGCAGTTCAGCAGGTTCATTCAGGGGACAGATGCCCTTGATTCTGCTGCTGATTCAACGTGCAGTTTGTCAAACCCAATGTCACATCTGTTAGAAACTGCAGGAATTATTTATGTACTGTTCAGCACGAGATGAAACAAAACAAAAGCATTTTCTTCTCCAAGGAGCTTACAGTGCAAGACATTTGTGTAACACTTTGGGAATAAGAGGTGGGAACCTGGCTTTTAGTTTTCACACAGTTATGCACTCAAGTATGTACTGTCACCTCCTCCTCAGTCTTTATATTTGTCTTTAAAATCTACTTGCATAGCGAACGTTTGTTTGAGTATTTCTTGTCAGTAATGCTGTATTAAAGACAGCCTAGGGATGAGAGATTCAAAGGTTTGCACGACACAGGACAAACTTCTTGTATTAATTAGTCTTTAGCACTCATTAACAGAGACTCCTTTTAGGATTTTACCACACGTTGAGAAGTATGTACTTTTCATTGTGTAATGGGGATAATGGTATCTTCAGGAGAGAATATTCCTACAGTATATTCTGAATTCACCATGTAGGTTTTCACAGCTGCTGAAATGAAGTAATTTTGGAAGATACAAACCTCAAAGGCTGGGAGTTGGATGAACACCAGACCAACTCCTGATTTGTAACTCACAGTGCCATTAAACCATCTGGGGACAGGCAGAGGACAAAAGGAGATTGCTTCTCACCATGCAGACTGTAAATCCCACACAGGGCTGCAAAGAAAGCAGCTGCAGAAGCAGTGGTTGGGCACCTTTCCTTCTGACGTGGGATGACGAAGCAAAGGCAGAACTGTGTCAGAAATGGGGAAGGAGAACAGATTCAGCTGTGCTGAGCGGATGGCTTAGAATAAGCACCTGAAGCACTTCTGAACTTGTTGTATATGTGTTCTCAGATTTGTCTTATATTTGTTGCGTTTTTAGTAAGATCTTTCTCTTGTTTAAGAGATAAGGAGAATCTGTCATTTTGGCAGCTGGGTCTGATCTCATAAAAATCATTATCCAACAAGGTGCCAAGCACCCCATCTTTGATTCGCAAGTGACTTTGCTGTGCACTTCACAGGATCAAGCAGATTGAGTGAAAATGAATTTGTGTATTTGTTCTTTGAATTCCAAGCACTTCAGAGCCAACTGTTGACCCCCACAGAAGAATCTACCCACAAAGTGAACTTAAAATACAATTATCAGATTTTAGTTTTTGAAGATGGTCTTTCAGCAACTGTGGCCATAGGTCATGTTTTAATAACAGCTTTTAAGCTGTTTTTAAGCCATGTTTTTAAACAAAATACTTCCCTAGCATATGTAGTAAAAGCTGACACAAAGGTTTTTAAGCCTACTCTGATCTGAGGTCAGAAGTGTTTTTCTCTTTTAGCCCAATTTCCTTCCAGACAGACTGAGAACCTGCTGCAAACCATCTCTGCATTTATGTTTCTTGTCTGTGCTACTGAAGAAAAGCCAAAACCGTAGAGCATTTAACACATGGATCGTGCTTCATCCATAGGGCATGGGGTATTCCCATGTAGCAGTAAATGTGGTCTTTGAACACTTCAGGTGTCTGTAGCTCCCCTCAATTTACATAAATTAAGGAATGCACAGCTCTGGGTGGCTGCCAAGGACCCAGAGTTCTTTCTTCATCAGAAGGGCAGGCACTTTCGGAGTCAATAACTGAACACATTCAGGTGACCACAGCCTCAGCAGTTTGGAGGGACCAAAATGTGTGAAGTTACCCTCTTGTTTGTGCACTCAAACTGGAACTGTGAAGGCTTTACACAGTGCTGCTCTTGCAGAGATGGTATTTCTGCACACAGCAGCAGGGCGCTGCTTCTGCCCTGCAGTGCTGGCGGCTGCCAGCCTCACCCCTGTAGGGGGGAGCAGGCAGACAGTTTTCATAGCAGCTCATAGAATCTCAGGTGCTTAGAAATATCAGTGCTTTGGCTGCGCTGAGTGAACATAAGCAGTAGAACACAACGTCTCGCAAACTCATTCTTACCTTTTTTCTTTTTCCTTAAAGACCACAGGAACAAATCCATAACCATAACACTGCGTTACTTTTATCTTAATGAGCTTCTCTCCACCTACCTCAAAAGTCCCCAGAATTCCTGTTCCATTCTCGTGCAGAAATCTCAAGCTGGAGAAGAACAGAATATAGAGAAGTTATTGCAGTGGAGGAGAGTGTTCGCAACACTATTAGATAACAAGTACTTGAATTTAAGAAAGATGAAACGTTTCATAGGAGGTACCATTAGGATCATTCAGTGTGACCAGCTGTCAGCCTGGCTGCTGACCCAAACAGATCATTCTGCCTGATTGCACAGTGCTGCCATGCCGATGAGAATTACCAGCAGTGACTGGTGTCTCAGATCTGAAGCTGTAGCAGTGTGCAGCGGACTTTCCTCCTATTTCTCTCTAATGTGAAGCATCTCCAGTCAGCTTTGTCTTTTGTAGGGGACAGATGAGATGATTTCTGCCAGTCTGTGATTGCGAATTGAAGAAAATAATAAGTGCTATTCCAGTGCAGCAAACATAATTGATTTGGGATGGTTTTGATCCAGACCAATCAATGGCTTCACATCACCACATGTGGAAAGAAAAGAAGTGTGAAACAGTGCAAAAAAGTTTGTAGAATTATAACTTTTCTGTAAGAAACTAAATTAGTTGTAAAATAAAAGCACACTGCTTCTAAAGAATTACCCACATCACTTCTACTGTATCTATGTAATGAATTTCTACCCGGTGCTTATTTGCGTCCAAGGAGCCCTCAGTCCTGAACTTGAGGAAGAATGGGGTCAGTGCTCCGATTCACAGCTCCTCCTTTCTTTGATAGCTACAAGAAGAAAAGCCGTGATGTTGGTATGTCCTCAGCCTCAGCAATCACTGCAAGTTGTCCTTTGAATGAGACTTACTTTCCTGGCGTTCTCTGTGTGGTGCTCAGTAGAGGGAGAAATGTTTCTTTGGCAGAACACAGTCTTACTGCCATGCCTTCTGCAGCTGTGACACAAGGAATGCATTATTAATCATGTACCTCACTGCACTTTCCCATGCAGATCGTTCATTGATGATTTTTGTTTTCAGTGGTACATTTCCCAGCATACAGCGCCAACTGTATATCTGCTACAGTTGTACAAATCCTCACAGTTACATCTATACAGCTCTGCAGCACTGTCAGTATTCACAAATAAATACTCCTGAACTTCCCACAGTGATACTGTGCTATGCTACTTCCTCACTGATTATGTCAATGATCAGTTTATCTCATCATTAATTAGCCATAGGAATCTCCTGTTCTCTACAAAGAGTCCAGTTGGGCACTGGAAATCCTAACAGTATTGGAGCGATTCTTCTGGGGTGGTCCAGCACTCCTTGTGGCCCTCGGCTCCCCCCCTGCACGGGTGACAACTCAGTAGAGTAGAAGGGTGCATTCCAACTGCTCTGTCTTTTGTGAAGCACACTGATTTGTCTCTGGTGTATCTCTGTAGATGTGGGTGCAAGCAGAACTCATCTCAGAGAACGTACTCACTGTTGTGTTTCTCTCCCCACTCCGCAGTGCTGATTGACAAGGACCAGTCCCCCCGCTGGAAGCCTGCTGCTCTGGAAGAAGTCAGCGATGAATTCGTGGACAATTGTTTCAAGCCTCTGGGAAACAACGATCTCAAGCTGTAGAGATCACATCTGTTGACATCTTACCCATTTGCTTCATTTTATGGTATAAAAGCTAAGAACAGCATGACAAAGTATGACGAAGCTCTTAGCCAGCCTGACTTGTAACTATTTTTCACATTCAGTACCATTCTCTTTTGTTATGCAGCTGTAACGACAACATGATTACATCTCTGGTTAATAAGGGGAAAAATGACTTGAAGGCAAATAGTTATTCTGACTGCTGTTAGACAATGATTAATGTTCAGCTTTGGGCCTCAGCCATTGAGGGGAATCTTGCAGGGAGACAGCACGGCTCAGGGATGGGCTGCAGAGCAGGAGCTGAGGAGCCCATGGTATTCGTGGCTCTGTTGCTGGGCTGTTGAAGCAGGATTGGGCCTCTGATTCTTCTGTTTGCAATGAAATTAATATACTTAAATATTAAAACAGTCAGAGCTATGAAGTTAAACGCCAGACATGCTAATTTCATGGTGTTAAGTGGTCTTTTAAATCAAAGGTCAGACTGACGTATGATTATTAGTCTGAGAGCAAGGAATTATTCTATTGATCTAACATTTGGTCTGTGTACAACATTGCCACGTGATGCAGACGTTGTTTCAAATGTCATAATAGTGTCAGAGCCTCGAGCACATTTCTTTCCTCTTCTAAAATCTATTTTGTAAAAATGCCATTGATTGAATTGCATAATGAGCTTCTCACGATTTCAAGCATTGTTGGAGCTTTTCCTGCTCTCCCAGTGGCAAAGAAGTCACTGTCTCCAGCCTCCTCTGCCTGCCAAGGAGCACGTTGGCTGCTGGTGGTCCAGTGATTCCAAAGGCAGCGGCCCTGATGCTCACGTGGCTGCAGTGTGGCTGCACCACGCCGGCTGGCTTCATTTCTCCTTGTGCCCAGCAGCATCCTGAGCTGGAGCCATCCCTGACTGCTGGGTGGGAAACTTGGGACAGGTAGGAGGGATGCAGCAGGATGTACTGGTGATACAGAACAGTGGCAAACAGAATGCCTGCTGCTACACAGACTCTGAAGTTCTTGTACAGAACAAATCCTCACAAGTGTGTCTGTGGGGATCAGCATTTAAACATCCATCAAAAAAACACCCAGTGTTCATTAAAGGTCACTGAATTCTGTTGCTAACAGTATTTAAAGTTCTGTGATACAACCAGAGCCCCTTGATACTACTACCAACTCTAGGGAGGGGGCAAGACTTATTTTTCTATTGTGCATGCAAAGCACAGCTACAGATCTTTGTTTGGTATGAAGGCTGCACACTTTTATATACTCAAGCAAATTGTACGTCAGTACCTCTTCTGACTTGTTTCCACAGTTGGAGACAGGTTACAAATGCACAATTTGGGAAGAGGAACCACTGACATTAAGGAAAGAACACTTCTGCTCAGTACCATCAGTTGTCAGCACTGGGAATTAAAATCAGAGCCATGGAATGGTTACAGAGCTCCCAGCGTTTGGCAGCTTCTGTTACCAGCAGCATTGGTGGGTGCTGGCTGAGGGCTCTTTCCTTCCTAATGCTGTTGCCTGGAAACAAAGTTCAGGAAATTCGAGCATCAAGGTGAACTGCTAAATTGACTTTCAGAGAATTAAAGGTGAGCAAAATGAAGAAAAATGGCACTTTGCTTTGTCACTAGAACCTGGAAAGTAAAATTAGGAACGTTTCAGCTGCCATGTAACATTAACTCTGTACATATTTACAAGAGAGACCCTGGGTTTATTATTAAAAGTGACTGAGAGGCTTTGTTAACACCTTCCGGATAACTTCTAAAATATGACTCATATTCCTCACTCACTGGTGCTGTAAGAAATGCAGACCTTCCTCTTGTTTTAAAATTGTGTTCTAGATCCTTCAACAACAGCTATTCTTCATTTCAGAAAGAACTGGTCCATTCCATTATTCCTGTACAAACGCTACAACTGTCAGCTGCTGCATTCACGGCATAACACAGCGATCCCCGTGATGCAGGGATTGTCCCTTCTGTGCCTGAGAGGCACCTGCAGTATTTTAGCTGCTGCTGAGCCAGGAAACAGTGACGTGCATGTCTGTGAGCTTCCGAACTTGGTGTGAATCATCTGCAGCTCACAATAACAAGACCCTCCAACTTGTGCCTTTTTACCAAATAAAAGTCGTATAAACAGATGGTCATTTTAATTTTATTTGGTCCACAAGAAAATATTTTCCACAAAAAATATTGTAAAAATATATTGTAGTATGTTTTATTTGAGAATACGGATGTGTTGTACTACAGAAAGGTCAGTGGTACAAAGTTGTGCTGCAGTTAGCGTGCTCCAAACCATTCCTAGGAGGTTGTCAGTCACACACTACCCACTCAGACCCTGCGTGTGTTCCACAGAGAAAACACAAAGCACACAGACTGAACTCCCAAACAGAAGGATGTGTGTATTTCAGAGCACACCAGTCCCCTGCCAGAGTGCCCTTAGAATGCTAAATCGAAGAATTGGTGGCAACTTTGCACTAAGAGTGGCTTTTGAAGACTGCAGAATAGTTCCATCTAAAGGTAAGCAGACAGATGGAATTCCATTTAGGTACCCACTTAGCATTAGGCCTGTTAGCACAGCAGCAGGGCCTTTCCAGTCACTGCCACCTATGGCATGTGGACAGCCCAGTGGCCGGGCCCAGCCTGGCCAGTGCGAGTCAGCAGCAGCCGTGTGCTGAGCTACCGAGAAGTTCTTCTGACCATTCCTTCTGGGCACACTTTCCTCAAGTGATTCAGTTTGTGTCAGAAAGTTTGCAAAACAGCCGAGCTCTCTCTCAATTCTCGTGTGAGAGTAAGCTGAAAACACTGGAATGGTCCTCTTTCTGCTGCTTACCATTGCTTCAGTCATACTCGTATCAGTCACGAGGACTGTGTACCTTTTAAAAATAGTAGCCGTGTTTGCCAGTATGGAAAGCAGTTTCCTTCTGCAAAATGAAAACATGAAATGGAAAGCACTTGGATGCAGGAAAAAACGACATGGCTGATACACTGGCCTTAACAGAAGAAGGAGCAAATGGGCGCTAAAAAAACACAAGCTTCCTACGAGGCATTCACTTTGCCTACGACGGCAGCAGAGCGGTAGGAGATCAGTTTGCTTCCTCCTCCCAACCCCAGAGAGCAGTGCAATGGAGGTCAGGCCCCAGGCCCCACAGAACAGTGGGGCTGTGAGTTCTGCAGCACTGCTGACGAATGCAGCAGCCCGCTAGCCTAGGGCCCAGGCTCACTCACAGCGCTGTGTTCTGCTCAGGCCTGAGGCTCCCACAGCTCAGCTGTGCCTCAGTGCACGTGGCTCTACCCGTGGGGATGTGCTCAGCCTGCGGGAGCAGAAGGAGGGCAAAGGCCAGCAGTTCTGAGGGCGTGATGCTGGATTGCAAGCTCAGTGCAATGCAGCCGTAGACCCATGAAATCAATACAGCCCCCGACCAAAAAAAAAAAGGAAAAATAAAAAAAAAGCAAAGCAAACAGCTTTGGCCTGAACGCAGCAATTAGATGTAATTAAACTCTTACTGCAACATTTTAGAGAACAGCCTTCATGCATTTGCAAAAGCCAGAGCATCTGTTAACTTAATTACAATGCGCTATTCATCAATACCGTAATGTTTCTCATCGGTTCTGTTAAGAGTGGAAGTTGAATAGGATCATAATCCATATGGTTCCCTGAATACTATTTGGTTTTATAAAACGCTTCTCACCGCCTTCGTCATTTTGTGGTTTGTAGGCCTGCTCGGGTCAGAGAATCAAAGTGAAGGTTACAACAGCAGCTGCCTTTGCTACATAGAGGTCCTGCTTTCGCTTCCGCAGAACACAGACAAGTTTGCCAAGCATACCATTCTCGTCGCCTGCAAACAGGCCATGTATTTTTTATGCAGTACATAAATATAATCCATGCTTTGTTCTTGAGCATCTCTGGGGCCCCTGCAGCAGCGCTCCTACAGTTGCAAGGCAGTTGCATTCTTCCCATTTTCTTTTTTAACACTGATTTCTGATCACTCAACACATACAAAGACAGACAACACTCATCATACGGCTGATAACGAACAACACTTGATTAATAGGTTCTACTGTATTCCACAGGGTTTCCTAGCAATATAGATCAAAAGGCAATTTTTTCCAGCATCTCCTTGCAAACACATTCAGAGGAGCACTCTGCTCGATCACAGTTGACTTTACTCAACTTGCACCAGCACCAAACACCAGCTGCTGGCAGACAGACGCTCGCTGAAGCCAGACCAGGCTCAGGGCACATCGCTCTCAATGAAAGGGATGTCGCTGTATTTGCTCTCTGTCACTGCCCACTGCTTCACTGCCTGATCGACAATCTCATGGGAGAGGCGGTGTGCGTAGTCCAGCACTATGGCGCTCGATGGACCTTTCTCATCCACCATCCCTGCTATCAGTGACGATTTCTCCCCGCTGCACCCTTCTTCACCTTCCCCGCTCCCTTCCACACGGATAGCGTTTGATCCCGCAAAGGCATCTTTGGACTTGATGCATCCCATGGTACATTTGAAAACCCAGCTGCAAAATTCAGTTCAACAGCATGTTTTCATAACCTGGAAGCGGCTCCTTCCTTTGTTGCACAGCGTTGCTGCTTCTTGCCAGGGGTTGCACTGTCTCCACCAGTGCTTCTTTACTTCTGGAGAAATCTGTCAAAACAGTGTTTCACAGAAATGCAGTAAATAGTTCACCATTCTCAGTGAGCTCAAAGGGGAGCTAAACTGGTTGCAGAAGCTGTAAAACCAACTCCAATAAATCTGTGCACGGTGCACCTAAACTGTGTTCTATCAGTAACACCCATCTGCTACAGTCATCAGGCAGAGTCCAACTTGAATTCAAGCTTCCCTGGAATGCAGTCCAGTGACAAGAGCTGTAAGCCATCTATAAGAGTCTGTCTGCAATATAACCGTACAGGTCCCGGGAATAACATCTGTTTCTTCCAAACAGATGAGACAGTGCTGCTTTCCTCAGTCTGTACACAAATACCATTTAAACTGCAGTGACTGCTGCTGCTGCTAAGAAAGTAAAACAAAGAAGAGCCTCACACAGACAAAAGCAGCAGGTAACCATCACCTGACAGGACTCGAGTTACATAAATGCCAGATCTGCTCACCTTGCCAGAACAAGCGCTGTAAGAAGCACACGCTGACATGACCTCCAGGTCTGCTTCACAAGAACGTGCCAGCAGAAAACTCCACCTTTTTCCCCACACCTGAGCGGGCCCTTTAGTCAAACTGATTGAGAATGTGAACTGCTGAGCCCCACATTCCGCTACATGCAGCTTTGTTACTAACCTACAGAGCAGTTTCTCAGGCTCTTTGCTCTAGAGGGGCACAGCAGAACTGTACAATCTGCCTGACGTTGCTTGGCATGAGCTTACCACTCCCCAGAGTTAGTAGACTGCCAGCCAAAATAAAGACTGTGCTGCACAGAAACCAACTGTTCCCTATGCTTTCACCCAATGACGTCGTACTGAGGTCAGCCAAAGTTAAACATTTTTTTGTAAATAGCCTTTGAAAACATAATTATGGCAAAGATATTAAGCTTTGTTTATTTCCCTTATATATTGAGGGAAACAGGGGCTCCAATCCAGTAACCTGATGCCAGGCAAATACTGAGAGAGGAAATCCCATTTGCAGGCAGGTGACCACAAAATGGCTTAGGTTGGAAGAAGCCTCAAAGATCATGTAGCTCCAACCCTCTGTCATGGGCAGGACTGCTAATCATCAGATCTGGCTGCTCATCCAGGGCCCCATCCAACCTGGCCTTGAGTACCTCTGGAGGTGGAGCCTTCTCTGTTCAAGGCCCACGGGTAGGACAGCATTGCCCCAGCCCAGCAGCTGGCATGTGTGAGTCAGGCTCATGGTGACAAGCTTCTGCCCTCCTGTAGGAGAGGACATTCGTGAGAATGCCCCTACCTCTAAAGGCAGCTGTGACTGGCAGCTCCAAGCACCACAGTGGTGGTTGGCGCTCCTGGAGGAAAGTCAGACCTGTGGGGCTTCTGAAGCCACAAAACATTTTCATACCTTTCACTTGGTATCAGAACCTCTCAGCACTTTAAAGAAACATCTGTAAACCACTTAAATCAATGCAGTGTTTATTTTGACCATAATGACATGATGCAGCAGGTGCCAGTGTGCTTTAAGACTAAGCAATGTAGCCATCAGGCCTGTGACATAGACCCTGCCTCCAGCATTGCTAGTTTGACCCAACACAGAAGATAGTTAAACTGTCATTGAGGTTTATATTGTGAGAACCTGTTATTAAATGAGTAAAAGAAAGGATGCACAAGAAACTGAATATATATTCCTGCAGAGGTTTATGAAAATCCACGAGGCTCATACCCATGTCTTTCAGCCACGTGCATTGATGCAACTTATAATGCTGGCAGAACGTGCTTACAGACCAGAGGCCAAGGAGATGTCTGAAAGCCACTCAGACTCTGAATAATTCAAAACTTCTAAATAGTTTTGTCTCATACCTTCCTAATTTCAATATTCATCATTAATAAAACATAAATAAAATAATTTCCACTTGCAGTTCTCAAACTCTACAGAGCTCAGAGCATCTCATCTGGTGAAGATTCACTAGACAGCACTGCTGATCCCTGAGCTGCAACCTTTATCCAGGCCAAGGAATACAGAGGCTTCTCCCACAGTGCACAGATACCCTGCCTAATCCCTTCTCATTATACTCTGCTGGTGACAGTCAGAAGTTTCAGATCAGATCTCATGACACCCCTGGACTTAGTCAGAACCATAAATACTATAAATTTAAACCTCAGCTTCCCCTCACCATGGTTGGAGTGCTGTCCAAATACTCTATGCCAATGGTGATATATTAGCATATTTTTGACCCCTTCATCTCTCACATTTTGTCTAATGACTATCTGAATTTGGCTTTTCATCTATGGCTATAATCCAATTCTTTTCTATGTAATCCTTTTTTGGTGCTCTTTAGAGAAGGTCTGTTAAATATCAACCACTTCTTGTACTTTATCCTGGTGTTAAGGTGTGTCGGCCCTACAGCTGGAGATTTCCTTTCCCCTTTTTAAGCGACTCCAGCAAATGAGTTAGGGCCAGGCAGAAGATGGAGGGAATGTGAGTAGAAGGACAAGCATTTCCTAAAGCAGATATGGAGGGATTCTGTAGGCCAGGATCTTCTTCTCGAGGACTTCCCACCTTCTTACCTCTGCCGTTTAATTGGGGCTAACTCAGATATGGGTTTGACTGTCTAACATGGAGAAAGGAGCAGGCTAGGAAACAGCAAGACATGCAAGACAACGAAATTGTTTCCTATTGATTACTAGTTAGGCTTAAAAGCAAAGTTATTGACCCTGGTTTCAATCATATACTCCTGCTTGTTTCATTATTCATGGAGCGCAGTACTTCCTAAGTCAGTGCAGTAGGTTTTACTGTTTGTCTGCTCTACTCTAGTTAATAATTGTTGGCACATAAATGCTTGTAAATGAAGTTGTCCTCCATCTTCTGACTGATTTCCCATTTTTCTGACAGCCACTGCTTGCACATGTAGGATAAAGCACTGTTTAAATCCTCTCTGCCTATCTCATTTCCAGCGTTGTTCTGATAAGGATTTTAACGTGGCTGGCTGCCTCACAAAGCACACATCTTTGGGAGAGGTGAGTTCACGTTACTGCTGGCACGACGCTGCACTCAGGAACTGCACAAGGCAAAGCCAGCTGACCGGAGTCTGTTTCAGCACCCAAGCTCTTGCCTGTGGCTGGCTGTGTTTCAGAAAGCACTGCAGGGAAGGTTCCAGGCTCAGGCCAAAACCTCTGTGGATATAGCTGCTTACCTTACTGACCAGCTCTTGTGCTTAGCTCGAGGCAGAAGTTAGTGTGCTGCAACCTGTTTTGTTGTAGTTATCCAGGAGTTAAAGCAGCGCTGCTGCAAATCTTAACAAAGATTCTCTTCTTAAGGATCAGTTTTATAATAAGTGAAACGCATTTTTCAGACAAACTAAACTAACGGGTTGCACGCTGTGCTAAATTTCAGTGAAGCTATGATCAGTAAGGCCTTAAATACCTCATATTTAACTTCAATACTGCAAACGCCATGTGTTGTTTTAAAAAGGGTCTTGAGGACACAGCACTGGAATCTCAAGTACAAGTTCAGGTGTTGTTTCCCATAAGCTCCTACACGCTCACACACTGCGGTAATACAAAGAGGGAAAGTCCTGCGGGAGCCATGCTGTGCAGTTGAACTCACCTTGCATGCAAGGACCACGCTGCCTCTCTGCCAGCCTTCCTCAGTGCTTCCTGCCAAATCGAGCTCATTTCTAATCACTGAAGGAAAGAAAACAATGTTAGAAAGATGCCTGCCATTTCCTATCATACCATACAACAAGGGAAAAACATTAATAGTATATACACAGTTTTATTTTGATAAAAATGTTCCATTATTGAAAACTTCAATCAGAAGTAATCACAAAAAATAAGCATAAGCCATCCACCACTAAGAGTTTTGTTAACCTCCCTTCATACAATGAAGAGAGACATAAAAGGAAGGTTTTGTGGCTTGCAGCAGCTCAAGCTGTCACAGGCAAATAAGTCCCATCTCCTGTGTACGTGGTTTCCCTTTGGTTGGACCTCTGAAATATCTCCCTGAAGAGCAGTGCTACACTGCAAGGAATCACCCTCTCCAATGCTGTTTTATCAGTCAGCTGATTAAAAACAAGTCCTACTTTTGGAAACAGCTGGGCATAGCTGCACCCAGTTGAGCACAGTGAGAGATTTCTGCTGCCAGAGAACTGGGCTCCTCACTTCCCAACGTCCCCATGTGACACCCTGTAACAGGGAGGCTCTTAGATCTTTCTCCAGCACCCATGAGGAAGGAAGCTCTGTGTGCTACTTACCAAGGACCTGGCTGCTCTGAACAAATCATCCCCCTCGTCCCTAGCACAGCACAGATTGCTTCACGACTGGGACTCTGCAAAAAGAATCCAGACATAAGACACTGCACTTACAAAGTCAAAGTTCTGTAGTACCACAGAGTTAAAGGAATCCCTCAGTGCTGGCCCTGCAGAACTCTGCTCGCCTGTTCACCCACAGCGTTTGACTTTCTCAAAGGCAGAAGGATGACGCAGCACTTCAGACATCAGACTGAATGGCAGGCTGCAAGAATTTATGCCCGGTTCCCAACCCCAGGGCCACTGCGGGTGGGTGGCTCCCATCCCCAAGGACAGGTCGGGCAGGGTGCAGGATGGGGCTGTGCCAGGCACCCAGTGCCCTGCCTGCTGCTGAGCTTAGAGCCCTCTTCTCTCTCCCCCTCTCCGTGTTTCTGCAAGGAGCCAGGCCTCTATCACCAAGCATAGAGGGACAATGGTCAGATCATCACAGTGCTTTTAGCAGGGCAACTGTAGTACCCTGCTGTAACAAAGCCCAGCAGGCATCTCTTGCTTCCTTGGACAGTTCAGACGTAGCAGTCGCACAGTTTTCTGTGCTGATGGGAAAAAAAGGGAAGTTTAATGTTTATTATAAATGTTGCAGAATAGGGATAGAAATGCTGGGAAGTGTTCAACACAAGTTCTCCCTGTGACCAACAAAAAAAAAAAAATAGCAATGGGACTTCTAGAACTACCCAAAAGCACACACTGCAGAGACATCCAACAACTGCTTATGCATACCAGCTGGATGCACAGCTACGCTTAGCAGAAGTTCTCAACCTTCCAAAAAATGGCATGCAATTGTTTTACTCCTTCTAAAGAGAACTGCAACACTAAATACAAAGGGAACCAAATCACCCTCTATTTCCAGCTGAGTGCCTTTTCCCAAACTCAGGTAGAAGCACAGCAGAGCATGCTGCTCAGACCACGGGGTGAGCTGAGCAATGCTCACCCAGGAGGCAAACCTGCAGCACCTGGGCAGCCAGACTTCCGTGCTGCATCTCATGGCGGCAAAGTTCAGGTCCTCCATGAGATCCAGCAACGAGACAGGGCACACCCAGCCTGCTTTCCCTCTGCCCAGCAAAGCAGGACCTCGTGCTCTGGGACACGAGATGTGATGCTCGCTTATATTCTGCCCTCCTCCCTCGCGGTGCTTGCTGCTGGAGGAGATAAGCGCTGCAGGTTAGGAAGGGCTGGATGCTGGAGACAAGCCGCTGCTGAGCAGGATTAGCATGGCAGTGAAAGTTTTCTCCTTATCTCCCTTATGGTACTCGCTGGAATTTCAAAGCCTTCCCCCCTACTGTGGCTGGAACTGATTAACTCCAGCAGGCGTCTAAGCCGGTCTGCAGCTGAATGGGGCGACAGTGCAGGCTGGGGGAGCGCTTTCCTTCCTATCTCCCTTTCGAGAGCCAGGCGTGACCATCAGCTTATCCTAAACGGCTTTTCAGTAAGAGGATGGCTGATGGAGCAAGCAGAGGCAAAGGAAGGAACCTTTTGGTCAAAATAGCAGTAATTCAGAAAACAATAGTCAGGCAGCAAGTGCAGCTCTCGGCAGCCACAAGGTTAGGTTTCATCCAGGAAAAGCGTCGTTGGAGGTATGGAGTGCTGTGTGCATGGTAGCTCTGTCCTGAGTGGCTCACTTGCCATAGCACAGCAGCGGGTTGGGTTCAGTTGGGAGACAGCCTGAAGGTGAGGTGAGGAAGACGTTGAAAGCTTCTTACAGGCTCGCTTAATGTCGCTGCTTGCCCAAGCAGCTACAGAAGAAACGGCAGGAAGAACCTAAAGCTACTGAGCTACCCAGGAGTCCCGCTTGCAGGAAGCCTGGCCAAAGCTGCGGGAACCCAACTGCCGGAGTCGCAGAGGGGCGCCTCCTTCAGGGGAGGGAGTAGCCGATGGCTGCGGAGATCTGGAACTCCTCAAGAACCCAGACCCAAGTGCCAAATGATGCTCAAACGGGCGAATGGAGACACGACGCAGTAAATGGATGTTACGTTTTCAGCAAGGGTGTAGAGCGGTTTCCTCGAGCAGCGTGCAAAGGAAAGCATGTTCGAGTCCCCTCTCAACAAAGCCCAGAGCACCGCGAGCGTCGGCAAAACCCCATACGCGTCAGCTGCCGCCCCAGAGCCGGTGGAGACACCAGGAGGACGCGTGGGGCGCTCGCCAAGAGCCCTGCGGGAAGGGCAAGGCCCCGGGGGGCCCGAGGAGGGGGCCGCCGTCAGGTACCTGCGGCAACACCAGGCTGCCGTGGGGTGAGCTCAACAGAAGGGCCGCTTTCCGATCCCACGCAGCGCGGCACGAGGCGACGCAGCCCCGCGCCCGCAGCCCCAGCAGCGAGGAGCCGAGCAGGCGGCCGGCAGGGCGGGGCGCGGCCGCATACCCCGCCGCCGTGGCATTCCCCGTAGCCCTCCCGCACCTGGCAGCAAGGCAGAGCAGGGCAGGGCAGGGCCGGCTCGAAGAAGAGCCGCCGGCGAGGCGGGGGATCGCAGCGAGGTGGTCGGAGCGGCCGCAGGCTCGGAACGCCGCTTCGTTAACGGAACGATACCAATCTCTATAGTTTCCGCTTTTTATTACTATATTTAGAAACCCGATTCCGACTCCCACCTCCCGAACCGCGAGGAAGCACGAGCTGCCGCTCAGCTCCCCGCGATTCCCGGCGCGGCTTACCGGGCACAGCCGCACCCCGCCGGGCGCTGGATCGGGGCAGCCCTCCCCGGCCGCTGGGGGCGAACCTCGCGGCTCCGGCTGCCCTCGCCCCGCCGCCGCCCGTCCCGGCTCCCTCCGCAGGAGCTCGGCGCTCCCCCCCGGCCCCGCTCTCAGCGCCCCGCGGCGCTCCGGGACCCGCCCGCAGCTCGGCGCCGGTCCGCCCCGCGCACACCCCACGGGCGCAGGGAGCGCCCCGCGGCCACCTGCCGGCGGGCGGCGGGCAGGGAGGCGGCGGCGCGGCCCCGCCCCTCGGTGGGTGCGGGCACCTCCCCGCCTCCGGCTCTGCCCGGCCCGGGATGAGCGCGGGGGAACGCGGCGTCCGTGCGCGGCCGGGCCCGGTAGGGATGTGCGGGCTGGGGAGAGCCGGGTATGACCGCACGCAGCCCCCAGCTCGGCCCGTGGGCTCTACCGCTTCACGCCCTCTCTGTTTCTCCCTGTGTTTTTAACCCGAGTACGTAAGCTGCGTTAAACGGGGCTGTATTAAGACAGCGCTGAAGGACCTGGGGAGCCGGCAGCCCCCTCCAACCGGCCCGCAGCCACACGGTGCCCCCCCCCCCCCCGCCCCCAACTCCATCTGTGCCTGCAGCCATGCACCGACCCGACGGGTTGGAAACAGGTGCGTGGTCTGAACGCGGAGATTCTGAAGAGCTCACACAGGCAGCGACCGCAACCTCCAGTGGCCAAAGCTCTCACCCGGCACGGCGTGCCTGCCTGCCCTGAGCTGCGGGGTACGGGGTACGATAACCAGAACGCAGAACGGGTGTTAGAACAGTTACACGTCTCCATGCAGCACAGGTTTTAGTCAAGGCAACAGCTCATAGAAACTTTTGTTTCAACATGTGCTAGCTGCTCATCTGCAAATTGAGATAAGATCTGGGAAATCTGTCTAGATCAAGCTTAGGAATGTTTCAAACAAAAGTTAATTCACAACTTGAGTATTGGTTGCTTGAGAAAACCCATAGTATTTTCAATAAATTATGTCATACCATATGAGGGGTCTGGAACACAGGCCATATGAGGAGAGGCTGAAGGAGCTGGGAATGTTCAGCCTGGAGAAGAGGAGGCTCAGGGAGACCTCATTGCTCTCTATAACTTCCTGAAGGGAGGTTGTAGTGAGCTGGGGGTCGGCCTCTTCTCTCGTGTCATTAGTGATAGGACCAGGGGGAATGGCTTCAAGCTACGGCAGGGGAGATTCAGGCTGGACATGAGGAAGTATTACTTTTCAGAAAGGGTGGTCAGGCACTGGAATGGATGCCCAGGGAGGTGGTGGAGTCACCGACCCTGGGGGTGTTCAAGGAAAGACTGGATGTTGTGTTGAGGGACATGGTTTAGTGGGAGCTGTTGGGAATAGGTGAACGGTTGGACTGGGTGATCTTTTAGGTCTTTTCCAACCTTGGTGATTCTATGATTCTATCTCATTTAAATACTATTGAAAATCCCACATTTAGAAGACAAGCCGGTGTTGTAGGGAGGAACAGGGATGAAAAAGTTAACAAAAACCATTAAGTTAGAGCATATTGATGCTTTTTGTCCTCTCTTTTCTGCTATGTAAGGCCTGAGACTGCTTCCCTCTCCCCTCTTCCCTCCCTTTCAGTCAGAAACCAAGGCCTGCCTGAAACAAACCTTGCCTCCATCATTTTTATATGACAGAGGCATAGTATGATTTATATTTTTATATATGTCTTATTAACAACCACTGATAAGATGACTGCTAAGAACTGAAAAGCACAGCTATGTGACTTAGGTTCTACCTTTGGTAGTGCTTTTGTCACAGCTAACAGATGCTGAGGTAAAAGCTGGCCTAAGGGAAAAGACTTTAGGACTGAAGGATGGCACCAAGCAGCCTTTTACACACAGGACATAAAAACTACAAGAGGAAGGCAGAGATTCATTGCCGTTAGCATTTCTAGTCACACCAGAAATAGGAGCTTGGCAGGTTGGGATGCTTTTGTAATGTAAAACCTCATTCAATAAGCACTGTGTGCTCCAGACACAACCACACACCACTAAAGGAAAGAATGTTTTCAAGAGAAAAAAATTACTGACAATTCAAGACTATTTTTATGTCTTATGTCACATACCAAGTAGTTTCATTGTATTGGACTCTCTCTGAGACTATAACATCATAAAAACCTAATGGTTCCCTGATGCTCCTGTAGCTGTTTGCCATGGGGAACACAGTGCTGGCTGCTTGGGGCTCTCTGGATTGCAAAGGCAGCTTAGGGGCACATGCCCTTAAGGAAAGGCAGAGCAAAGGCTTTTGAAGAACTCAGAAGAAGCCAAAATAGTTTTCAAAATAATTCTGTGAATTAATTCTCATTCAAAATGGCAACATGTTTGAAAGGGGGAAAGTTCTTCCAATGGAAAGTTGTCAAGCACTTCAATTAACAGAGAGTCGTTGGTGACAGTCCCTGACCAGAGAAGTCAACTGTCTCAAACACCGGCCTCCATCTTGGTGCCATGGCAATGCAGAGGCATCTTCTCCCTTATTTTTAAGAACATTTTCTAAATGCTGACTCTGTCAGCGGTGTATGTAGATGCCAAGTGCTCAAACATCACATTCACCATGAAGGAAAACCAAAAGCACAGTGATAAACACACCCCAGGAGCCGAGGGAAAAAGGCAGCAATACCTTTTGCCTTTGTGTCTGTATGAAGCAGGAGGTGACGTTTGCAGCAGCTCTGAGCCTGACCATCGGTTGTCATGAGAGGTGGTGGGATGCTTGGTGCCAGCCTTCCATTGCCCTGCAGCTCGGTGTGTTTGGAGGCAGCCTGTGCAGTCCAGTACAGTCAGGCACGTACCCTGCAAGCACACACCATCCTCACCCTGCAGCCTCTGCTAGAAAACAAAGCAGGGAAACAGAAAATACCAAATATTAGTATGTTTTTTTTTGCTAATAAGGCAGTGTACCAGCCGGAGACATAGTCCTGATTTATATGCAAGACTTTTTTTTCTCATTTGCTCCACTTCTGAGCCCAGTAACACAATGCAGGCCTGCAGCATGGCAAGGAGATTAACTGAGCATGAGGCATTAGAATATTGCAAAGAGGATCAAAAGAGATTTGTGGCTGAAAAGCCACACACCAGAATTACAGTCAGCTGAGAAGCTGGGCAGACAGAAAGTGGGTAAATCACTTAAATTTAGAGATCTTCTAAAATAAATCCAAACGTTGGGGTATGTGCTGCAGTGTGTCACATCAGCCCTCCCTGTGATGTGAAGCTGCACACAACACCAGCTTCCTTCAAAATGGAAAGTAGTTTTGTGACAATCAAATATTACCCAGCAAAAAAGCAAAGTCACAGTAAACATGGCCACGGATGTGCCAAAACCTGAGAGCCCTGAGACAGCAACAGACAAAGCAGCAGCCTTGCATCATTTGCCACACAATACTAAGTACTACAGAGAAATAACAGTGATGGAAGTACCCGATCTCCTCACAGCATTCCCTTCTCCAAAGCAAAAACCACTACCAGGATTCCCAGGACAAAAGAGTTTGAAATAGAATTCAAAATAGGAAATTACATCTCGACTGAGATAAAAGCGTACTTCACTACTGCAGCCAAAGCCGTGGATCAGCAGTGACATGCCAAGTCCCTGCTCCTCCCAATTCTCTAGCAGCTCTGGGCACTCACATACTTAAAACAGAGAAGTAATGTGTTTCAGAGGATTATCATACCAACATCTGTACTCAACCTTCAAATTTTCACACTGAGATAAACCCTCACTACAAACAACAAACAAAGAACAAGTATAAGTACAGAAAACAAAGAGCAAATACAGAATGAGAACAGATTTTGTACTGTATGGTACCTAGCTGGGATGGAGGAGACTGCGGTCACACGCAGGGTGCTGCATTTTGGATTTGTAGCTACAGCAGTGTCAGTAACTCACCAGCAGGCAGGAGGCTGGGAGAGGACAGCCCAAGGGCCCCAGCTGTATTGTGCCATCCAACCCAAACAGCGCACCAATGGAACAGGCGGGCAAATGGCTTCCTTCAGAGCACAGGGCGAATGGATTTGCAAATAGGAAATGCCTTAAAAAAAATGATGCCTTAAAAAGAAGCTGGGGAAGACATTTGCTCATTAGGGCACAGACAGAGGACTGAAGGAGGAGAGTAGTGCTATGGAAGCATCCCTCAGGGAGGCGTATGGGTGGCTGGATCAGAGCTACTGCTGCAGAGGATGGTTTCATTCTCTTAGATTGCCTTGTTGGCTGAGATCAAGCTCTGTATACATTCTCTCCTACACCAAGAGTACCTTTTGCAGTGCAAATGTCAAATAGATTCCTTTATAAAGCCACAAAATGTCTTTTACTGACACCAAAGTGGAAAGATAAATTTAAAATTCATTTTCAGAAGAGTCTAGTTTACTAAGAACTGACATCATGATTACTTTACATAATACATGTTGTTATCTGCAGATATTATCCAATATCTAAACAATCGAGCTCATCTTATCTGAGGCTACTGTCCCATATGTTGTATCCTTTGTACTATATCAAGAGGTTTTCAGTTGCGTGATCTTAAAATCAGAATTCTTGCACCAAGTGAAATTTATGAGAGTAGACATTAAGCAGCAAGAGAAAAGATAATGTTAGGGGCATAAAATGAAATATACAACTGCACACAGATTAAACAACAAGACACTTTTCTGGGGGCACATATAGAAATATTACCTATCACCACATGGCAAAGAAGAAAATAAGAACATCGATTTCATGTGTGGTATATGTAAGTCCCCTAACTGTGCAGTTTGGTTTCAGGAGGAAAAAATAACCTTTAGCACGGTACAAGTGATTGCTCTTTGGGGAAAAAAGTATCTTGAGGAATCACGAGCATGAAAGAGCAATTCAGTTGAAATAAAGGGCAGTTATGGACAGCTTGTGTTACGGTTACTCTCTACTGAGGGGTTCAACAGAGCATCAGTACTTGGCTCAGGAGCCCATTTTTTGGATATGACCCAGATTTCTGCTTTTAAATCTCAGTTTGCCCAATTTCCAGTTAATTTTGTGATATCCAGTTCTACAGCAGACACGAACATTTTGTGGAGTGAACACTGGGTCAGGATAAAGCTGGGATTAAGACCTGAGCTGCTGTGTCCGGTGACAGGGGCTCCTTTACTGAGCCAGGGCTTGAGCATGTCTGTCAGGAAGTGTCAGACATCCTGTATCACTGTGGGATGGAGTCCCAAGCCTGAACAAGGAAACACATACATATAGTTCTGTACACAGATAATATGCAAAATACAAATAACAACTAATGCCTTTTAAACCTAAGTGTTGTCTTTCACATAGTTTCAGCACATTCATAAACGGTGAAGTTTTCTGATTTGTAAATGTACTTAACATAGGAATGATAATACAATCTCCAAGACACAAACAGATCGTAAAAATCCAGCAAGGCCATCCAAACCGCGGTGGTCTGCCAACAACCCCCCAGTTTAATGTTGGAAATTAACTCCTATTAACTGGAATAACTTTTAGTTCTTCTTTTAGCTCTCCCTCCTTCTCCTCCCCCACAAGTCAGAAGTCAGCTCTTTGATGTCTGAATTTGATGCTGTTCGTCCCACATAGTTCCAAGTTCAAGACCCCACTGGTGGGCGGCACAGCATCTTACTCGCTGGAAAAAGTTGGTCAAAGTCCTGACTGCCATCAGAGGCTAAGTCTCTGGGTGCAATTTCCACTGCTAACTTGTGTCACTTAGCACCAAAACAAGCCTACATTTAGTGAATGAAAGGAGTCATTCCAGGAGCTCAGCAAAGAGCCCAAACACACACAGTCCGACAAATTCTTTTCAGCAAGCGTCAACAGTACAGACAGACAGACACATTATTTCAAGGCTCAGTTCTCCTGAATCAGAGAGAACGAATTGCTTCAGCCAAACAAGAGTATTTAGTGTTTATATCTGTCTCATCTATGAGCAACATCACATAATATCAGCAATTAAATACCAGCTTGATTTCTCCAACCGCTGCCACATGTCTCTGCTTATGTAGCTACTTAGTGGCTTGCAAAGGTCTCATCCCTGCAGCATCTTAGCACACCTCTGATTTTGTTCTCAAAACTGTCCTCCAAGTGGAAAATTATATTTTCTTTTTAATGGTTGAGAGAGGAGGGACAACAAAGCGGAAAGGTGGGGAAATCTGCAAAACACATAGGCTGCAGCCTGTGCATACTCACAGAGTGCTGAACTGGCTCTGGACAAGCAGGGGTACCACTGCTTTTATCTATAAAATAACAGAGTATTTAACAATTACTCCTTTTATGTGGATTTGTTCATGTCTCACACAGTCTGGAGAACAGAACCAGAAAATCATGCTTTCATTTTTTCATAACTGGTACTAGCAGTAATATAATGAAGCAGTGAGTTTACATCTGTACAAGTGAATAACAAAATTCTCACTGACATATTAGTCAAGACCCACGCTTTAAGATTCCTGAACCAAATAACCTTTCCTCATTGTCCAATCTGAACACCTCTGAGCTTTGTTAGTCAGCTTTTTCTATGCTGAAACATTGATCCTAGACAGCTGCAACATGCTTACATTTGCGAACAACTTGTTACTCGTTTTCCTATTGGCATGATTTTAATTAAGGGTTTTGTAATTTTCTTTCTAAACTATTTGGACAGAATTCGTTTAAAATATGCTGGATAGAAAGCTGCTGTAAATAAAAATACTATTTAATGAAAATGGATTGATAAATTTACTTCCAAGATTCTGTGCACACTCATTATTCAAGGAACTTGTTCCAAATACATCAACAGTGGCAAAAACTTAATGACCTGTACTAGTGAATGTAATGTATTATTGCATGGATACCACATCATGCTGTCACAATATTTGTTCGATTTTCAGGTGATTACAGTTAAGTGGAGAATATTCCTCAACTTTTTATTAAAGGGAGGAAAGAATGAGAAACATTTCTGCTTGGAAAGATGCTTGTTTGGAAATGATCGTCAAATGTGAGCCCTCCCAGGAGAGGGGAGGGAAAATCTCTGCTGTCTCTTTGCAAAAGCAGCCTGTGAGCCACGTTCATTATCCCGGCCTGAAATTTGTAAGATGGAAGACTTACTTCAGTGTTACCAGAAGTTTCAAGTTTCATATGTGTTCTTCGACTAATTTAAGGTTTGGTTCTGCTTTGAACACTATGCACCAGTACCTGGCACTGTGCTGGAGCGTTTCCATTTAGGAAATTCTTATTGAAAGAGGGTCCTGCTTAACGCAAAAAGGGCACTAGGGTTTGAAGACAAGAGCTGATGTCTGTTCAGATTTGACCCGCAGCCTTTGAAAGTCTATAAAGCCCTTCAAATCAATGGATTTCATTATTTCAGTACTTCTAGATCAGGCTACCTTTGGAATATGTTGCCTTTTGTGATATCCTAAGGCTCTATATGTCTGCTTGTTGGAACACAGAGTTGCACAAAAGATTTGGTTTCTTCAGTCAGCACTATAACTGCTTTTGAGTTTTCATCATGCTTCATATTTAGTATGATGTAAGGTGCTTTACATTCTCTGCATTTGACTCTGTCTGTATTGCAGGCATGAATTAAGACTTTCGTCAAAAGATGTTTGCATCCCTTTGGATATTGCTACAGCTTCTTTCTTCTCCCTAGCAGAAAACTAGTAATCAGGTTTTAATGCTTTTTTCCCCTTGCCTATGGATTTCATGGTGGTAGAAATGCTTACAAGGGCATGTCAGTGAACTTCCTAATGCAAGTCAGTACAACAGCATCCATTACCTCCACTCCCAAAACATAGACCCC